GCCGGGAGTGTCGGATGAAGCGACACTCGCGGAACAGAGTTGGGGGCCGCTGGATACGGAGCTATCCAGCGGCCAGCAACTGTGCTGGGCCAGCCCAAACCCTGAGGCCCCGGTGCTCCCGCACCGGCCGCACAGGCGGAAGTTCCACCACTGAGTCTGAGAGCGAAACCTTCGTAGCCTGTCTGATGTAAGAGCAGTAAACAAGGATTAGCCGGGGTGTGTACAATCATTGTAGATGTAAGAGGCAATTCAAACACATTTCCTTAAAATCTGAAAGCGGAGAACCAATGATCGAACTACTCATCACAAATCCCTTCTATCTCCCCCCCATACAGCTGGAATACCGGACAGGACAATGATACATTAAAATAATTACAATTGCTTAAGTTCGGTCCAAACCTGAGCTCATCCCTACTCCTGATATATTCTGGTGATGAGAGATTAGAAAGGACTCTGTGTAGAAACTTTGGAGTTAGTCCAGTTTTTAGGTGAGCGCCAGTGATACATTTATGCTTTAGCCAATCAGGGCTCACAAGGCACAGTGCCTTGTGCTGGGTGTTTGTGTATTCGACTCGAACATCGAGCCCATCCCTACTCCTGATATATTCTGCTGATGAGAGATTAGAAAGGACTCTGTGTAGAAACTTTGGTATTAGTGCAGTTTTGCGCTGAGCGCTGTTGGTACATTTATAATATAATGGAGGCCGTCATTCATTGTAGAGTCACAGAAAGCCACCATATCAGAAGTGTTACATTTAAATGACGATCTCTATATAAGAAATCCCAGTAGGGAGCTCTATTTTCCATCTTATAACTAATGAAATGATAATCAGTTAACAAGATGTGGTAATGTTATTGATGGCAAATAGGCTGATCACTTTGCAAGGGAATTTTCCCACAGCTTAGTGAATGAGGTGACGCTCTATGGACTTCCATCATCCAATCAGGTGCCAATAAAAATACTGTTTTCCTTGATTGGGTATTATCTGCAAAGTGAATTTTCACCGCAATCACTAAGTTAAGTGCAAACTCCCTTGTAAAGTGAACAGCCTATGTAATATGAGGACCTACCTAATCTAACCAATCAATTTCTATCCAATCAGACAGGCTCTTGTATTGCATAGTTTTTGTTAGAGCGAAAGGAGATTGTACAATGGGATTGTAACGTGTGTGGTGAGTATAGCAGGAACTCAGACAGAAGAAAGACATTTTTTTTGAGATTACATAGAGGAATGCGAGAACATCTGTCAGCATTTTATTGTAATCTGTTTCCCTGTGGTCCCTCACTTCCTGTCTGGTAAAAAGCTTCAAGGAAGTGAGGGGAAATCTCTCTAACGGACCCCGGATAGCAGCAAAACATGACAGGGGTTCTGACCTTTTCCCATTCTATAAGTTCTGGGTATAGATGGAGTTTTAGTGATTAATATTAGTATTAGTTATTATATAACGACATCACAGAATGACATCAGCAATTCATTACATTACAGAATGTTCCAGCAAATTACTGACAACGTTGCAGCTTACAGTCTATTTCCTGATGAAGACGTCTTTAGAACAATGGAAGAACATTATATGTATAATCATGGAGTGTGTTTTGTGTTTCTTTCTTCAGCCATCAATATCGCCAGAAGCGGGGAAGCCACGCAGAGTTCTACTTTAATTTATTTAGCTATAAGTAGTGTTGCTAGCAATGCCATTGATGGCGGAAAAGATCAGAAATGGTCTCATGGTTCCTGTAGCCACACAAATTATGACTGGGAACCCTGGTGGAGACTGGACCTGAAACAGAAACAGAGCGTGTATGTTATTAAAGTCTATGGCAGGTCGGACAGCTTTTTATGGCGCTTGCAGGATCTCGAGGTGCGAATTGGTGATTCTCCAGACAATAACAACCCGCTGTGAGTACATCAGGGCCAGGGCACTGTAAGGGCCGGTGTTAGTGAGCTTTGCGCTTGTGTTAATGGCATCAGCTTGAAATGCTTCTCAGATGATTCAGAATTCATTGACAGGTGCATTTGATCTGCAGTTGACCTGCTTCTGACCTGTATTTGACCTGTATTCCATTTAATTGCCTCATCTGCTGTGAATAGAAGATTATCAACATAGGCATTAAAAGTGATAGGCCCTCAGTGCCACCTTGTACCCAAAATGGGAAACAACAATACATGTCTGGATTTTACCCACAGGGCAAGCTTTTGATAACAAAGACGTTGTTAAATATAAAATTAGACTGGGGTACCCGGGGCCAACCAGACAAAGTGAGAGTGAGAGCCCACCTTTAAGCACGCATGCACTATGGTGAATAGGGATGAGTTTTGGGGTCAACCATGAGCTAAACCCTGAACCCAGGCTGTTGGCAGTTTGAAGAATGGGTGAAGTTTGCCCAGCTTGTCCACCTACCAAACCTCTCTCTTTGTCCTAGCAACCAATGACGCTGTGTGACCCGTCCAATGTCATTGGTTGACTGGTGGCTGAGCCACATGGCATCAGTGGTTGCTGGGATGCAGGCGGGTGAACTATGACATACTATGATGCTGTGGAGCTGCCAACATCTTAGCAACCAATGATGCTAGTTGCTAAAACACAGGCAGAACCATAGCAACATTGGTTTGTTAGGCTAGGCCTGTCTGCATTTAAGCAACTAATACAGAGCAGTTACTAGCAACCAATTATGATAGTACACTGACTGTCCTGGCTTTGGTTTGCTTTTGCCATGTTAAAACAGGTATGGATTAACAGCGATATTAGTAAGTTTCTCCGAAGTCACTCCGCTCATCTCTGTTGCCTTGTTATTATACTTTTTTGTGCTTTATTAAGCCGCATAGCAGTGTATGTTTTCTATGGGCCCATTTTGTGAATCTCCCCCCAAGTGAACGGGTTCCATTTTCTGTATCATTGTGTTGGACTTTTCTTGTCCTTGGTAGGTGCGGCATGATCACCAACTATACTAATCCCATCACAACTTTCTGCTGTAATGGATTGGCGGGTCGATACGTCAGCGCGGTGATCCCGGGGCGCAGTGAACGTTTGACCCTGTGCGAGATAGAAGTCTACAATGGCACCATGACTGAGAATGATGTCTGCTGGTAAACCTCAGAAGTACAGGGCAGAAGGAATGCTGACGTTAATAAAATGTCTTATCTATAGGGAACATATACCCCAGATCTCCGAAACTATGTCATGTCTGTGTTTTCCTAGTTGTCTGGAAGAGGATGTATTCCACTGCACACCTTGTAGTTGTAGTTTGTCAAATAATGAATCTAAACAAAATAAAACTGTGTACTGCTGTGTTCATGTCTAAGGGGTCTATTTATAAACAATTCACAGAGTTATTCACCCTGCGAATCTCTGTGAACATTCATTCTGTGCGAATAGAGAAGAAAACAAATGTTTTAAGTATATTTTTTATTAACTTTTCAGGTTGAATGTAATGTAATACAATACCACATAATGGTCACTAGGGGGAGACTAGGAGCATAGGAAATAAGTATCATTCATATTCCATAACTCCTACTGTAATGTAGTTACCTTCCAAAAAGGTGGTTATATATATATATATATAAATATATAAAGTTTTGTCTCTCAATTCATAATTTAATTCCAATAACTGATATGCTGGCTATCAGATTGTGGATGTCATGGACGGGGGTACCATGAGTCCAAAGAGCATTGTTGGAAACCGACAAGCACGCTGGCAAATTATCACAAGAACACCACATTCCCTAAAACATGACCAGCAAGCTTGCCAATCATTGCAAGAACTCCAAAGGACACAAACCCAGACACAAGTAGCAGCCAATATACAACACAGGCTTTTGACAAACACGCACACTGCTCTCACTGGCAGTTATAGATTAGGTAAACCTGGCAATATCATGTATAGAGTTACTCAAGCAATCCGAGGAAATGTATGATCAATGACATCCCGCTGCTTCATATGTGATCTAACAGTGACAGTGTAACATGGCGAAGTATTTGGTATATTTCTTGGTTTGCAAGCAGTTTATAAAATGTCCATCCTCCAGATATACTTGCTGTTATTGTAGTGGTGTATCCTCCTGTACATCCTCCATGGATATATGCAAAGAGTCTACTTACAATTTGCAGCTCAAAAGAAAAGAAAAACATGATGTGGTTCACCAATCCACAGGCAGTGAAGGACAAAGTCACTGGCATAGCATGATTACTAATGGGGTCCCAATGGTGGATCGGTAGTAAGATTTGACTGACTGGTTTCAGCAGTCTCTCCTGGTTTCCTCAGAGATTCATCCTTGCCAAGGTATTGCTCATTCATATACATAATTAAACCTTGTGAAAATGGCCTAGTCGCAATGATCGCAAGCATGCTGTGTACCACCCAGGCCTGGTTGATCATCGCACACATTACATAACAGGGAACCTCTAATGAAAGGTTTGGATGTCATACAGATTGTCATATAAATGTTTTTTGACCTTCCTAATGATTTTCTCTATGTAGAAAGCACCACGAGCGCAAATCAGTATATAGATAACCCCGCGTGTGTCACAACTGATATTCACAAAACATCTTACACTTTTCCTTGTTGAGAAAGTTATTTTATTGCCCTCAATCATGTATTTACAATACTCACAGCTGACACATTTTCTCTCTCCCAGGGCCCTATGATCCAAGGAGCTATGTACCATTATCATTGTATGTATGTATCATTAAAAGATACCAATATTTGTCACAAATGTCCCATATCTGATTAGATATACTTGTATATCTCACATTTAATCAACTATGTTTGTTACTTCTCCTTTCTTTCTTCCCATACAGAAGGTCATCTTGTGTCATATCCTTTGCTCTATGGTATGCTCTGCTGAGCCATTGATTGCTGTATCCTCTGTTCAAAAAATTCCTTTTCAACACATCTGCATCACTTTCAAAGTCATGATTGCGAGTGCAGTTCCTCCCAGCTACGGGGTATTGTCTGCCAGGAAAGTCTTGGAGTGGAAACTTTTCACATACAATAAAGTGTTAGTAGCAGTCGGCTTATAAAGCTTTGTAATGATTGAGCTATCTGGTCCTAATCCTATTGAGAGATCCAAAAAACTGACCAAGTTAGGTCTGCACTCGGAAGTGGACTTAAGGTTGAAATGGTTTTGTCTCATAGTGTGAATGAACTCCTCTAGTTCACCTCTAGTCCCTGTCCATTGGACGAATATATCATCTATGTATCTGTACCAACACAACATTTTGGGCAGGCACATCAACAGAGAATCATTTTCCAAAAGCTGATTTTCCCATTCACCAAGGAACACATTTGCATATGCCGGTGCTCATTCCGTGCCCATGGCTATGTCTTCTGCTTGACATTAACATGTATCATCAAAAACAAATTTACTGTGTCCCAAAAGAAACCACAACAATTGATCGACAAAAATCAGTGTGTGCTCACATTCCCCTTGTTCTCTATTAAGAAATGTTTCATATAACCTCCACCCCTTTGGAATGAGGAATGGAGGAATATAATGCTTCCACATCCACTGTGGTCAGTATGGTTCCCTTAGGAATTACAATGTTGTCTTTCTAGCAAGTGTTACTGCCGCTGGAGGCTCCATTACAGAGATTCCTTTAGTTCCTATTTGATAACAAGGTTGTCCCGAGGACATAAAGTGAGGGGGCATTGCACAGGAACACAGACAAAATGCTTTTTTGAAGTTAAAGTGGACCTTCCACTTCAGTGCCGTGATCTGTGTATTCGTGTATTCACCTCTCAAAAATACTGCATAAAAATATCTGTGGG